AAAACTTTCAGCAACAACAATCACCAACCAAGATTGTACAAAGTATGGTTTCCCAGTCATTTTCTTGTTCAGTTATCAATTAATGGGATCCGCCACATTGGTTGTCGCTTTTGATCGGTGAGTTTTACAAAAATTTGGGAGAAAATTCTCACGACAATAAGTGGGATACAGAGAAATACGACAAAAATCGAGGATTTACAAAAAGGACTACAACTACAATTAGTCGAATAGACATTTACAAGATTTACAAGATCAAACTGTGATCTTAAGAAATATTGACTGGATTTGAGACGAAATGAGTCAGAAATGAATAAATGAAATCAAATACAATATACAATAACGGTGACACGCGCATTTTCGGTGCAATTCCCCAACTTTCAGATTCATTGCTGTGACAAAACCCGTTCATTACCGTGCGCTGGATGAGCGCTTCACTTTTGGGGTGATGGGAGGTGAGTGGACCTTTGAACAAATGTAATTGATCTACAAAAAAGCGAGTTTGATTTAAAACCAAATCTTTCAAAATGATAAAAGCAGTGATTGTCAGAAATCAGCCAGGAATTTAAGTACACTTTTAAAGCTTATAAAGCAAGCTCAAAGCTTACAAAGCAAGTTTAAAGCTTATAAAGCAAGCTCACAGCCTATAAAGCAAGCTCAAAGCTTACAAAGTAAGCTTAAAGCTTATAGAGCAAGCAGGAACACTGATAGATTCATTCACTTCTGATCTTGTGCTTGAACTGATTCTGAGCGTGGCTTCGGATCCAATTCCTTGTCTTTACCAATAGTCGTCTGTTTAGCCCTGGTTCTCTACGTGACCATCACTTCTGCAACATTTCTTCTTTTCATTCACCTATCTCCTCCATTACAATGCTCTTCCAATTGTTTCACTTCGGAAAGCTATTTACCCTGGATTTGGAAATATTTACTTTATTTTCGAATGAGTGCTCTCATTTTGAGCAGCTTGTTGTATCTACCGATATCATTCAAAATTTACAAGGTGATAGAAGTGAAAGTGACGAAATGAAAGCTTTTTAGATGTCGAAAGCCTTAAAAAATCGAACCACTGATAAAATTTATTTGCAGAAGATCATTCGAACGACACGGACAGTAGGTGAGTTCACTTACCATTCTTTTTACAAGTCCATGAAGTAGTTGACAAATGATATTGGTATGCTAACAGATTTCTAGAACAGAGCCTAGGCAAATATTAAACTATTTTCAAGAATATTCCATGAAATTTTCAGGTTTCACCGTCGCGACCGAGCTGATTTTCGTCGTGATGACCGACTCTTTTCTCACCTTCAATCCATTTGGTTTAGCGAGATATCAGGTTATTTGGTACACATGCGCTTTGAGTAAAGGTTGGTTTTTGGAAGAGATCAGAGGTGTTCCAAACCCAAGTTGAGCCAGGTCAGCATCAATAGTAGCGCACAAAAAGGCCTATATCAGGCTGGAGCTGGCTTACATGCTTACTAGTGATCTAAAATACTTTTTTTTAATCATCAACTCATTTCCAGGGGCTTTGAATGTTCTTTTGATCACTTTGCAACATGATGAGGTTTTAAACGTTTTAAGAGCAAAGTTTAAAAGGACACGAGAGGGAGCAAAGATTGCAAGTGAGTAGGACTTGTTAGATGAAAAGAACAATGGAAATGAACTAGTCATTAGGTATTTAAACATAAAAATTGCACTTCAGAATACCATAAGAGTAATTTAGGCTCGGTAATTCCTTCAACGGCAAGTCGATCATCAAAGGGACATGGTTATGTTGGGGGATCTTGAACAAGAGACGGATGTATCGATTTTGAATGCTTAAGCATCTAATAAATATTCAATTTTCTAAAGCTTATTATCTCTTATTTAAAAGTTTTAAATCATCTCTACAAGATAGGCTAATAAGCTCCGAAATTCATCTAAAATTTTAGACCAGTTAAACTCACTCAATAAAATAAAAAGCTCCAATCATTACCACGATCCCGAAAAGCCGCAGGTACAGATTTACAGCTGAATATCTTCTTTTTGCATCAACTACAAAGCAAAAGAAAAAAGAAAGAGGTGTTCTTTGTGATGCCGGGTAATCGCTCGCTATCTGGCATACCACTTGCGTATAGAACCTTCCCTTTTGGCGTGTCGTTCTACACAAGCGTGTCGCTCTACACAAGCGTGTCGCTCTACACAAGCGTGTCGCTCTACACAAGCGTGTCGCTCTACACAAGCGTGTCGCTCTACACAAGCGTGTCGCTCTACACAAGCGTGTCGCTCTACACAAGCGTGTCGCTCTACACAAGCGTGTCGTTCTACACAAGCGTGTCGTTCTACACAAGCGTGTCGTTCTACACAAGCGTGTCGTTCTACACAAGCGTGTCGTTCTACACAAGCGTGTCGTTCTACACAAGCGTGTCGTTCTACACAAGCGTGTCGTTCTACACAAGCGTGTCGTTCTGGTGATGGATATCTATAAGCGATTGATGATACGCAAACAATAAGTGCATAAAGCGGCCGGTAAATCTGATGATCCCTCTGAAAATAAAAGCTGAGGAGCGCAAAGAAAATGAAGTGAGTGAGATTGGCGCAAACACGCCGAGAAACATGCCGCCATGTCGGGCGAGGATTCGAATAAACTATCGGGAATTTCCTGACAAAACCTGCAGAATCAAATTTTTTATCAGATGTAAACATCAAAATCTTTCAAAAGTAGAATCTTTCAATCCAAATCGCATATGTAATAGCTCACAAATAACTTCATTTTAAATACCATTAACCACTCTGGAATAACTCTGTTTCTAATTGTAAGTATCATAAACTTTGATAGGAATAGATTTATTTTGAAGAGGGTGAATATTTCTTGAACTCATAAATCTCATGCACAACATCGTACCTTACTACTAGAAAATTTTCGAAAGCTCAAAGCTGATCTTCAAAAAACAATAATTTTCTGTTCTCAATTTTCTCAAAAAAAACACAATTCTGGTGCAATTATTCCTTAAATTTTCTTGAAGTAACAACTCGTTGTCGCGAAAGAGTGAAGAATTAAAAGACGGGTTTCTAGTTTTGTATTCAAAGTACAGTCTATTGTTGTGTTCCTAGTGTTAAAAATATTTTGTTAAATTTCATTTAAAAAGCACAGCTAAAATCGATGATCTCAAGTTTTTTCTTAGGGGTTTTCTTAGTGTTATGGCTGTGATTTTTCATATTCAAAACAAAAAGAAAAGCATTTATTAAGACAAAAAAACACTTTCTCACACTAAAATGTTTTGCCCACTTGCATCAAAGGCTTGATTTTAGACTAGCAACTACTTCATCAACGTTTTTCCCTCCAGCCACTTCTGCTAGATGTGGAATTGTTTTGTAAAAGATTTTCTTATAGTAATCTGTCAGATCTGGCTGACTAAGGATTTTCTTTCGCTTTGGATCATTTGCAGCAATAAGCCGTTTCTCAAGCAATTGTATCTGAAGATTGGCAACTCTGTCAGCTTGCTTATCGAGCGTAATTCTAGCAAAATCCAAAAAATCCACTTTATGAAAACTTTGAAAATTGATATCATTCCTTGAAAGTTCTCTCGTGACAAGATTAAAATTTGCATCCATGCAACAAATCGTTTCCTTTTTTGTTTTATCATTGGGCAAATCGAGTGGGAAAATGGGCACTTTTTCTTTGCTTTTCAACGTGTAAAACAGGAAATATTTTGGGCATGTAAACTTTTTGGCCACGGTCGACAAGATTTCTCCGTGAAATAAGCTGATCATGTCCTCGAAATGCTGGTTGAGTAGAATATCGCTAAAAAGGGCAAATATGTTTAGATATTGTTTAGCTTCAAGGCTTGAGTAGCTACACAAAGGAATTTGGCTCTCTTTAATGACCCAATTTGGCTCGTAAACAAATTCGCATCGCAAATCACAGTCAATCCGGGGTGGGTTAGACAAACGAAAAGCGTAGCCTTGGATCGGTAACTCTTGGCCGTGATCAAAACTGTAGAAGTTTGTTTCCAAATTGCTGAGTGGACATATTCGTTTGATTCGCATCTTTGCAAACAAGATCATTCTCTGTTTTAATCTGTCCAATGCCGAAATGATCATGTCGACCAAAATGCACTCATCGCCTGTGAAATTCATCTGATTCATGCCTAGCACGTCTTGTCTTGGTTCCTTGATATCGAAACGATTCTCGTTGATCCATTCTCCTTGTAATGATTGAGCATAGTTGAGATCCTTTCGCAAGAATAAATGCCCATGCTGATCGACGCCGATGAGAAGCCACTCATCTTTTGAGGCATCCGAGAAAAAACAGCGAAAGTAGGCCTTTGTATTTAAATCATGAACGATCTTCTCAAGAAGTTCGATTGAATCGTTAACCCAAGGAGGCATCAACCAGGCACCATGACTGCTTTCCCGGAAATCCTTAATATTCCTCGCTACATTGTAATAGGTTTGCTCAAGCCATTGCAATTGTTTCTTCCAAATCTGGTTCACCAGCTCCGTAGCACCATTGGATGCGCTCAAACGATTCTCGTCATAAAAGTTTTTCACGAAGAGATTATTTTCAACAACACAACTGTGCTGTTGTTCGTAGTCAAACTTGAAAATAGAGATCTCTCGCACTTTCTCTTTGATAAGTTCTTGAACTTTTTTGGCCCATTCAATTGATTGCTCGCTCGGAGACGGGTTATCGAAGATTTTCTTGAAAGTTTCATCATATTGACTAAGTTTTTTTACGAATGGGAAACGGTCAAAAAGTGACATATTTTCTTGCTCAAGATTTTGATCAACAGTAACAGCTCTTGTCGTTTTAATGCTTCCGTCAGATTTCGTAAAAGTAAAAGTTGCGTTAGGTACTATCCAATTACTATTGTCATCAGAGTCAACGGGACTCTCGTCTTTTGTGTCATTAAATCCGATTGGGCGGATGAGCTGCTTTTGGTCATTTCTGCTAGACGGTGGGAACTCGAAACGTCGAGAAGTACAATAATTCTGGAAAATTTGTTTATTTTGTGTTGACCTCAGAAAGATACCTCTCGCCAAGCTTTAAAATGATTCAAAGCCTTCTCTGCGGGTAATCGATTGACTGACTCGAAAACAAGGATCCTGAAATCTGATATGGATTGTAGATCTTTCCGCACACATACCTTTTTAGAACATTTTTGATTTCCTCAGGACATTTGAGCTCTTCTCTCATTTTGTCTAATGCCATTTTGTAGCTATTGACAGCATCACATTTGTCGGAGAAGACTTTCCTAGATATCATATTGATCACTCAAATAAAGCTCAACAACCTTCTTTCGATTATTTCCCACAGAACAAGACCCACTGCATAAAGATCGCCTTTGATTGAAAACTGCAATATTTAACAATTTTGTGCTTTTGGCTAACTCGAAATTACCTCGCATCCCTTTTCAGCTGCAAAAAGCGCTTCCGGTGTCATGAAACGTGGAGTACCGGCAAGTTTGTCGAAAAATGTTTCCGAGCTTTCTATGGCCAAGCCAAAATCGCCAATTTTTATCGTAAAATCTCCTGTCAACAAAATGCTAAACGGTGGTTTTTAAAGTCTCTGAAAATGACCAATGTTTTCATACTTGCTCGTTTTGATGTCACGATGTATTCGATTGTTTTCCTGCAAATGTACGAGTGCATTCAAAAGGCCTTCGCCCCACGCAACGACCGTATGCATTGTATACGTTTTGGCGGCATCGAAGACCCCTGAAATATTGATTGAGTTTGAGTTTGGAATGATCTAAGCAGACTGCCGATAAGGAGCTGAGCCTCTGTAGCCTTTTCACAAATCTCACATTTATCCAATGATCCGCCGGCACAATATTCCATCAAAATTCCACGGATCTGTTTCCCATTTATCGGTTCCTCGATAAAGCCGAAATATTGAACGACATTCGTGTGACGGAGGCTTTTCAAAGCATCACACTCTTCTTTTAACATTTCAACCCGGCCGTTAGGCAACTCCTTGAGCACCTTGATTACAGTTTCACTAAATCGCTTTTGAAGATTATTCTCTTAACTAGCAAAATACATTAAAACCAGCTTATACCCGCAAAATCCTAAAACTCACGGTTCACTGTCTATTAGGCGATAAACATCTCCACAAGCTCCATTTCCAATCGGTTTCTCCTTTAGCGATTTAAGCAAACGAGTATGAAAAGACATTTCAAAAAGAATAGGTCTAAAATCGATTTGTCTTTTTCGAAACCGCGTTAGATGGACCCTTCTGGTGTTATCTCTTGAGCTTTTTCTTGCGCAATTTTTCCCAATGAAAAGAAAATTGGCCCGAATTTCATTGTTTTTTATAAACTCAATAAAAGTGTCATCTTTCGATGGTACACGTGAAATGTTAGTGAACGAGCTCACACGTGAGTTTACGATGATGCTAGTGTTTTCTGTGTCTTGACCATAATCTAAAGCTTTGAGTTTTCGAGGGAATTGGTCAAAATCAGCTGCGTGAAAAACTACGTTCGCTTTTGGAATGGCTCTCCCATCCGGTCAATAGCCAGTAATTCTGGGGGTGCTAACCGGAATGCGATCTACCGGCCATAAACATTACGAATCCGCTCATCACCAATCCAAAGTTTGAAAAGAATCTGAGCAGTTAAGTTAGTTTTTATAAAAGCGAGCAAAAATTTCCAAGTTCCGCCCTCCTTATGGTGGCTTCTTAGACGATATTAAGATCAAAACGATATTAAGATCAAAGCTCTCATTTTGTGTAGCCAATTGATTCCGGCGTAGGCCCTTTAACTTGCTCACAATTTTCTGAAACTTCGGCAATTGATAGTTCACATATGAGTTTCCATTAGTGGGTGTAATTAGTTTTTTTTCAAAAATGTCCTTTAAGAGGCCATCACAGGGAGGGCGGAACTTGGAAATTTTTGCTTGCTTTTATAAAAACCAACTTAGCGATTGGTGATGTTTATGGCCGGTAGATCTCATTCCGGTTAGCACCCCCAGAATTACTGGTTATTGATCGGATGGGAGAGCCATTCCAAGAGCCATTCCAAAAGTTTTTCACGCAGCTGATTTTGACCAATTCCCTCGAAAACTCAAAGCGACTATTTGCTGACTTGAAAGCTATCACAGTGTCATGAGAAATCGAATAAGATTTTTTTCGATCAATCAACTCAAATCATCCTGAATTCATGATTGCATTGCATTTTGGCATGAGATCACAGAAGCATATCAAAAATTTCAAACAATCATCTCGTCACTCTTTTGCTTCATCCAATTTTGAAGTTCAGTCAATATTGCAATCGTGTTCTCGTTTTTACATAGTGAATTTGGATTCATCATCAATCTGAAAACTTTTTCTTTATTAGCAAAGGCTAACGTTTTAAGAAAACTATAATACTTAGCTAAGAAAGAAAAAAACACAGAAAGGATAGTTGCTTTAATTGTATCAGAATCAGCACTAATTATACATTAGTACATGTAAATAAATAGGCTTTTGCCGAATTGCATCAATTTGTCATTAACACTGGGTATCTGCTCACTAGAGATGGGTTTCAGCTCGGATTTCGATCTATTGGGTTGCGGGAGAATGAGTCGGCGCCGAAAATCAAAAAAATGTCTAAAACTTCTATTCGACTTCGTCAAATAACATGCGTTTAATATGAGTAGAATGGTTAACTAATTCTCTACAAAATGACATTTAAAAGAAAATTCAAACAGCGCCTCCGCTCAAGAAAAAGCCATTTTTTCACAAAAACTACAAACTGTCATCTAGAAAAAAACCATTGGTGGGATCTTCCTGCAAATTTGGCAACTTAAGTAATTGAATGTGCTCTATCTTTTTTATATAAACACCAAAGAAGGTTTATGTGAAAGAAACTGTTCAAATGATGAGTCGGACTCTTTGCCATTTTAACCAGCTGCGTTTGGAAGTTCATAAACTCCACGAAAGAAAAGCTTTGTGGAATCTCTCAAAAGTCATTTTGTAGAGAAATAGTGGATCCTTTTGATGAAACCAAACGTATGTTTAAAGAAGGCTTTATGTGTGCAAAAAGTCCCTTTAAAGTTGGGCGCCGACTCATTCTCCCCAACCCAATAGATGAACCTACGATTGTTCTGAGCAAAATTTTATTGGAAATCCTAAGCCATCGATTTCGAATATATCAAACAAATTCATCAATTCAGCAAGATTTACGGACAACATCCCTGAACCGAATTTCTATCACTCACTCGGTGATGTATTTGTGGTTGTGAGTATGCTCGCTATGAATGAGAATGATCGCCCCATAGTCTTTCTTGTGCCTTATTGCACTGAAGGAGATATGAATTAAATTAAAACTCTGTTAGGGAATACCGTCCAGCCGCTTGATTGAGAGCTCGATAGAGTCGGATGTAGACAAGTTCTTGACCTCCTAGCCACTAAAATCTATTTTCTTTTTTTTTGCATGCTTCAGAGAAAACCTGATAATTCCCCTCAACTTCCCTTCTTCGAGCTCGTTCGAATTGATCACTGTCATAGGCTTTTTTCGATTTAAACTAAAACTTTACTAGATAAATTTATCCAATTTACCTTCTTACTTGAGGGTCGCTAATACTCGGATACGGCCATCCCAAAATGATGACCGCTCTGGCCAGTTTATCCTTAAAATCGATGCCTTCACTCATCTAAAATGTTAACGTAAAAAAACTGCATGGATTTGGATTTCTTGCATATCTATTACAGGGTGACCGCAAAGTATAGCGACAACTTTTTGGAAAAGCAACTAGCAAATGTCTTATTTCAAAAGTGGTGAGTGTTAAACAGAGATTTGAAGCCCTAATTCCTGGCAATATTTATCAACCAAAAATTTCCCGATTCGACTTATACAACAGATTTAACAAGCGTTTGAATGAGCGCTGGTCGACATTGCTCCGGCGAATCTGTCATTTGGTCGCTTTTCTCTATTAAAAATTGTTAAGAAAAGCTTTGCAATATTTTTTCAATGCAAAAAGAGCGTTTAAAATCACTTAATAACATTAAGAATCACAATTAACTGTTTTGGCTGAACTGGCATAACCAAAGTTTAAGTGGATGTCGATCTCCTTTTGGAGGAGCGGGGAAAAAGGTGAAAATTGAGTATTTTTCTGTATTTATATGCGTATCTCGTTATATCAGCTGTTCTGGTGCTATAAATTTGTTGAAAACAATTTTTTGAACCAAATTACCACAAATTTGACTGAAAAAAACGTTTCCGAATTTAATTTTTTAATGTAGAAAAGCGACCAAATGACAGATTCGCCGGAGAAATGTCGACTAGCGTTCATTCAGACGCTTGTTAAGTGTGTTGTATAAGTCGAATCGGGAAGTTTTTGGTTGATAAATGTTGCAAAGAATGAGGGCTACAATCCTCTAAATAACAATTGCCACTTTTCAATTAAATTAGACATTTCCCAGATACTTTTTCAAAAAGTTGTCGCTATACTTTGCGGTCACCCTGTACTCTCTTATTAATATAATCTACTATTGTTTCCTTTTATCTTTCTAACAATTTTTTTATTCTGATCTGATTCTGAACAAGCAAATTTGATCTTTAGCAATTGATGGTTGCGAAAAAAACAAACCTTTCCACGACAAACAGCAAAAAGCACAGCTCCATCTCCATTTGCAGCCGTTGTATAGTTGTTCACTTGTGTCTCAAATAGTCTCGGATCCGGATCTTCCCAGATGACAACCTAAATAACAATCATTGTTTGCCAGCTTGGAAAAACTAAACCTTTTGTCCAAATGCAGCTTGATTCAATTTTTCGAATTCGAATCGAAGTTTCCGAAGCATTTCATAAGAGGACGCATAAACGAGTACCCCATTTGAGGTGGCTTTGCAGATTACACTGAAATGCTTTTAATGTCCGCAATACTTAAGACTAATTGCAAACAAACAAAACAGCAAGCCCACTAACCTGACAATTTTCAGTGATTCTCGCAGGGATCTAGAAAAGCCGTCTTTTTCGATTTCCTTTTCCACTTTGCCGGCCATCAGATTCAATGGCTCGCCGTTTAACGTCTAGATTTCTTTTTTAAAACTTTTTGGATTCTTTAAGCACACATATTTAATGATTGCTCCAAATATGCGACTCGGATCGAAAACCTCGTTGGCTCGGATGCAAATTTTTCTGAGATACCATATAAGCAAAGTGACCCGAAGCAATTAAACTTGAAATCGGTGCGAAACTCGGCATCAATTCCATCCAATGGCGATAAAGTGCCCGATGCCATTACCACAGTGTGGCAATCTTTGGTGGTTTCTTGGAAGATCTAGAGTCTTATTGATTGAAACGAATGTTCTTCGAGAAACTATATTTTTCAATTTTTCAAAATTTTCAATTCAATAGCATTTGAAACGATTCTGCGTAACCAGACTCAAACGAACCACATGAGCCGAATTGCAAAAGACATTGAACGTGAAATGGCCGGTTTCCAGTCCGGTTTGTCGACGAAGTGCATGTAGATTTGCCATTTTCTTCGAGTTTCTCTGCACATAAATGAGATTCTTTCAACTATTGGGTTGGGGAGAATGAAATGAAGCCAAACTTTAAAGACACTTTTTTCAAGGATAAAGCCTTCTTTAAATAAACGTTTTATTTCGTCAAAATTTCACCAAAGTTTTTTTTTCGCAAACACAACTAATCAAAATGGTAAAGAGCTTGACTCATCGTTTGAACAGTTTCTTTCACATAAACCTCTTTTGGTGTCTATTGGATTGGGGAGAATGAGTCGGCGCCAAACTTTAAAGGGACTTTTTGCACACATAAAGCCTTCTTTAAACATACGTTTGGTTTCATCAAAAGGATCCACTATTTCTCTACAAAATGACTTTTGAGAGATTCCACAAAGATTTTCTTTCGTGGAGTTTATGAACTTCCAAACGCAGCTGGTTAAAATGGCAAAGAGTCCGACTCATCATTTGAACAGTTTCTTTCACATAAACCTTCTTTGGTGTTTATATAAAAAAGATAGAGCACATTCAATTACTTAAGTTGCCAAATTTGCAGGAAGATCCCACCAATGGTTTTCTCTAGTGAGTTTGTAGTTTTTGTGAAAAAATGGCTTTTTCTTGAGCGGAGGCGCTGTTTGAATTTTCTTTTAAATGTCATTTTGTAGAGAATTAGTTAACCTTTCTACTGATATCAATATCATTTGACAAAGTCGAAAAGAAGTTAGACATTTTTTG